ATAAACTGCCTGCATTTCCACTGTCATTGATTTTAGTGTTTCCTGCTTCTACTTTGTTCACTTCTGGCTCAAGATCCACTTAGTGTGATTTTGGCAAGTAAATACACGTCATGTTCTAATAACTAGGGTTGGAAAAATTCTTTTTCGCGAAATCACAGCATCGTTGCCATTAGTTAGAGTTGGTTTCATCACTATCTGTTTGAAAATTCTTTCATTTGTCAGCATCAAACAAATTTGTGTAAGACGTGCTATTGAAGCCCACTGACTAAGCATCATTATTGTTCTTGATGGTGAGCTTGACAGTTTCAGTTATTCACCTCTCACGAAAAGTGCTACATTTGGTCGCAATTCACGATTATTAGCAGCTTTGGTGCATCTGGCAAAGTTAACAAAGTGCCCGATCAAGGTGTGAAGTTTCGGTGAATCCACAAATGCTGCTGCTATCAGCCTCAGTTTTCCTTGAAATGCAACGTTTTCAGCGTCACCGTGAGGCATTATTTGGCGGATTGCAGGAGCTTACATAGGAGATTTGCGAATCTTTGAAGAAACCGGTTACATTGTCATTGCGCTTATTTGCAGATTGATGTTTGGCGTGGTTGCACACAGTCCTCGAAGACTGCCAGTTCTCGGAGTGGATTCGCCTCTCCAATCACGGGTTCGACCGGTCGACAACACCTGTGGACCAATGAATCGCACTTTCATGCAGGCGCTGCAGCAGCCCTGGAGCTTTTGGAAGATGATACTCATGGTGACGAGGATGAGTATGGCGAAGACGAGACAACCGTGGACAGCTATGATGATGACGGACTTGAAGAAATATTGACTGAAATATTGAACGTGCTGTCAGGCTCCGTTGGTGTTGGTGGTAATTTTGTCAAGCCACAAAGCCATCCCATGTTTGCTGAGGATGTTCACAATATCGCCTCGTCGTGGCCACAGGACTCGAAGCAGACATGTCAGCAACAATCTGTTGTTGTCGCTGCACCACTCGCGTCAGCGAACCCTGTCCCGCAGCCTCAGTCAGAGCCCCAGGAACTGCCTGAGTTGAGTGCCTTTGACATCGTGTCCGAATTGAGTCAGATTGAGACGACCGGAGGCGGTGGTAGCGGTGCTAGTGTTGGCCTCGCCTCGGATGGACCTGCACCACCACTACCCCCTCCCGCACCACAACCAGCAACAACCGCTAGAACAGAACCCGTGCTCTCTCAAGCACTTTCGGCAAGCCCTTATTCACATTCAATCGAGGGACAGTCCATGCTTGCAGCGTACCCGCCCCGTGGAATTATGTCTCAGCAACAGCGACCTCACTTGTACCTTCAACAACAACAACAACAAGAGCAGCAGGTTGATTTGAGTGGGAGTATGGTGGACCCTGGAGTTCCTCCTCCACCCGCACGCTATCCCGGATCGAGACCACCAATGGTCTGGCGACAACCAGTTTCCCACAGGTTCCCTCAATTTAAGTCGCAAACAGCTTACGTGGCGGCTAATCAGCAGCAGCAGCAGCATCAACAAATGCAACATAGGGTTCAAGCTGTGTGTGTGTAGGGGTGTTTCGCCAGGCATCTTGTCGTCCGTTGGAGCAGGAGCAATGTCACCGAAGTCACGGCAGTCACCATTGCCAGTTGTGCATGATCAAACACCAATGGCTTTGGGCAGTGGAATGTTGCCGAGTCAGCAGCTAACGACGATGCTTCGGCAGGGTAAGCTGTTTCCTACTGTGAGTGTTGCTCGCGAAGCGGTTCGCTTCACTGTGAACAAGCCATTTTATTGTTGGTTAGTTGAATCGGATGCTCTGTGTGTGTGTGTAAGACAAGTGCTTTGAAATGTGGTACAGATTTGAGCCATTTCCTCCTTGGCGAATTGAGCAGGCTAATTAAAGTTTAGTATGCATATTCAGCTCGGTGGCTGCAATAATTCGTGGTTTGAGTCAAGGTTGGCTGCTGCAATTTCGGAAATGCCTCGAACCCTTTCTATTGGCTTTGACGTGTCTCGAAGCAATGATAGACCAGTTAACATGCCTACTCTTGCAGACGTAAGTCCCAAACGACCTGGTGACATTCAGATGGCTGTACAATCTATGCCTGCCGACGGTCTGACCTCTCCCGTAGTCCCAGGCACCTCCACAGAGCTCCCATCGCATGTTGGTGAGATCGAAGGCGATGGCGGTGTTGGTGGTGGTGGTGGTGCTGGAAGCGGCAACGGTGGTGGCACCGCTGGCGTTGGATGCACCGGAGGAACGCCAACGTCC